TATAATGGTTTATGTCTCTCTTGTAAAAGAAGTAGAGAAGAGCAATTTGTCTAATAAATGACTTCAAAAATTACAGCTGAGTCTTGTTTGCCACGTTTGTTCTATTTAAAAAGAATGAGCGAGTATCTTATTTCTTATTACTTATTAGGACATTTGTTGTATTATTTATAAGAGTCAAAAACCTTAACTAAAAGCCACTCATCTCTGACCACAGTCTCCCATTAGCTTTAAATTCAGGAAAGAGAAAAGGATTGATCACTAGATCAATAAATCTAACCTTGGATCTGACTAAAAGCTTCCTTTAACCTCCTTCCTCCAGCATCCTTTTTCAAAATTAAAGTATCCCCGTTTTTAATTATTTAAGAGCATGTCAATTTTATAGTAAGGCCCTGTATGACTGCATCATACAAGGATTTCTTTTTTACACTGGAAGCCCACCTGCATCTTTAAAAGGAAAGCATTTAAATCATGATAATTTGTTGGTTTGTAGTTTTTTTTTTTAAAATTGGATGTGCTGCTATATATATACATATCCTGCTCCAAAAACAGCCTGGATTTAATCAAGACAAATGCTGAGAACAGGAAAATCGAGAAGAAATACGTATTTCCAATTATCAGACACACCAACTACCCCAAGCCCATCAATGATTCTGCTGGAGCTGAAGTCGCTCTGTATCGATGGCCCCGGGTCAACAAATGGCATTGTTAAAAACCTGCAAAAAGTCATTCCAGGCAAAAGCAAACTCCAGAGGACACAATTAATGGAAAGAGTGTTTAATTTTTTTCTAAACCATCCCATAAAAATAACTTGTATATGTAGTTTGCCCAGCGTGGATCAAGAACCTGACCGTTTTTTCCTCCCTTATATCAAAATAATTTATGAAAATCAGATCTTTTTTTAACCAGAAGCTGTTCACACCAATTCAATACACTCTGTTTCCGCTGTGCTGCTATGGGACAACCTTCAAAACAATTCAAAGCACATATTGGAGACACAATTCCTGATGCAAATCTGGTTGGGTGCCCCAAAACGGGGGAGCTGTGGCCAGAGTCACCTCTGGATTTTTGACCTTGCTCAGCCACTGGCCTGCTGCATCTTGAACACGTGGGTTTTGGCACATCTTTGCACCTTTCCTTGTTCCACTTTAAATCTTCATCCTGAAGAATGGGGGATTTCTGTCTTGGCAGGATTTGGGCTGAGAAGAGAGGCTGTGGACTCTTCATCCTGGGAAGTGTTCAAGGCCAGGTTGGGTGGAGCTTGGAGCAACCTGGGGTAGTGGAAAGTGTCCCTGCCCATGGCAGGGTGTGGAACTGCCTGATCTGTAAGGTCCCTTCCACTCTGGGATTCTGTGATTTTAGAAAATGGCAGTTTTTACCCTCTTTTTGAGGCTAATTTTTAAGAGGGTTTCAAAATGGAATTCCACTTGCTTGTCTTTGGGTCAAGGTGTTCTAAGGTGGAATGAGCAGCACTGATAGGACTGATAATGACAGCAGTGGGAGGAGAACTTCAGGGTGACAGTTCTTGGCATATTGTAAAACCAGTCCTACCAGGTTTATTTAAAATATAGAGGGAAAGAAGAGGGAAAAAAGGTAAATGGATTTAAACAAAATAGACCTTTTGAGTTCTTCTATTTCATAAAACATGCACAGTTCATGCCATGGATCTTGCACAGACTGCATGTGTGAGACGACTCTGTTATTAGGAACAAATGTCACACAGGTGGACAAAAAACAGGAAAAAATAGCAGGAACTTTCACAAAATATCATTCATCAATACTTTCCACATATGATTTCTCTAAACTAATGCAATTAACTGATCCCACAGTCCAAAGGCACTATTTTTATGTGTCACACCTTTTTCCCCCCCAACTGCTGTATTATATAGGTCTCCTAAATTTGGAGTGCTCAAGATGTTTTTTGGGGTAAGTGATGCATCAACTCATGTCAAAACAATGTAGGCTGCATCCAAAGTGACACTGAAATGCAGTGTTTTGGGGAATGATACCCCAAAAAAGGTTCTCTCCTGGCCTTTAATTTTGAAGGGACAAAATCTTTGCTGATATTGAAAATGGTGGTGGTCTTCACCAACTTCTGAAGCACAACTTTTGGTCAAAATCTTATTGTTGTGGTCCTGCCATAAAAATAATGCTACTCCCTATCTAAAAGTATGAGTTTTTTGCCCTAATTAGGAGTTTCTAAGAGAGAATTTTAATCAAGCAGACTGTACATATCTCTGGTGTCACTCCAGATCTTGAACCAGAAGCTCTTCCTTCATACTGCAGCCACCCAAATCCCAACCCACCATCCTACTGGGATGGGCACAGTGGACAAGAGCAGAGCAATGATGATCCCTACGTTGCATTTGGAAAATGGCAATGACAGGGTAGAATAGACTTAGCAATAAAGCTGCCCTTGATAAAACACAGTTTATGCAAAAGACAATGAATGGAAGCAGCACAAGATAACAATTACAGAAAAAAACAGGGTCATTTTTCTGACATCAGTCCCACAATTCCATTTGGATATGGAGGAGGGAGGATCTCAGCTGGGATAAGCCACTATAAGTGTATCAATAAATCCACACTGATTTATAGCAGCTGAGAATTCGTCCCGGAGCGCGTTCATCCATGTGCGATGCCATGGATTGATGTGTTAGCATTTTCTCCCTGGAGACTTTGGTTCCAAACCTATTTAAAACTCAGTGAAAACAAACGGGCTGGTCTCTAGGCAGATGTCCCTGGAAATCTGTTTACATCATCACAGTGGCAGCAGCTCAGTGGGAAGGGTTTTATCTGCTCAGGCTGGGGGTAAGGGCAGGGTGGCAGGTCCTGGTGGAGTTGCATGGCAAAACTCCTTTGGTAAGTCCTGAGCAGCCACCTTGAAGGATGGATTTGATGTCCACAAATCTACAGGAGTCTGTACGAGGTGAAATAAAAAGATTCAAACAGAAGTATTGCTTAGTCTGAGTCTACAATCTTGCAGCCAGACTCTACAGCACTGTGTACTCTACAGTTCCTTGCCTGCAGACAGATTCCCAAGGGATCAGTGATGGGTCCAGTCTTGTTCAGCTTATTCACCACCCTGGATGAAGGGACCGAGTGTTCCCTCAGCAGGTTTGCTGGTGATACAGAGCTGGGAGGAGTGGCTGACACACCACCAGGCTGTGCTGACACTCAGCCAGACCCAGAACAGGCTGGAGAGATGGGCAGGGAGGAACCTAAGGAAGTTCAAGCAGGGTGCCCCTATCCTGGGGAAGAATAACCCCATGGTGAGCCAGCACTGTGTCCTTGTGGCCAAGAAGGCCAATGGTATCCTCGGCTGCATGAGGGAAAGTGGCCAGCAGGTCGAGGGAGGTGATCCTGCCCCTCTCCTCAGCCCTGGTGAGGGCTCACCTGGGACTGCTGTGCCCAGTTCTGGGCTGCTTAGTACAAGAAATGCAAGGAATTACTGGAGTGGGCCAGTAGAAGGGCTGTGAGGGTGGTGAGGGAACTGGAGCATCTCTCTCTCCTATGAGGGAAGGCTGAGGGAGCTGGGCCTCAGCTCTGGAGAACTGACAGCTGGAAGGGAACCAATCAATCCATACAAATACCTTAAGGGCAGGTGTCAGGAGGATGGGAACAGACTTCTTCCAGCAGTACCCTTAGACAGGACATGGAACAACAGGTACACACTGAAACACAGGAAGTTCCATCTGAATATGAGGAAAAACCTCTTTAGTGTGCAGGTGATGGAGGCCTAGAACAGGCTGCACAGAGAGACTGTGGAGTCTCCTGCTTTGGAGATGTTCAAAGCCCACCTGGATGTGATCCTATGCTTGAGCAAGGGGTTTGGATGAGATCCTCTCCAGAGCTCCCTTCCAACCCCAGCCATTCAGTGATAACCTCACCCACAGGTCATTGCTGATTTTTTGATAGGATCCTTCACATGCATGAAATGAAACACATTTGTAATTCAGCAGGCTTGGGGCTCAATTTCAAAAGCATTTTGAGAGGATACAAAAGCTCCCTGTGGTCAAAGGAGAGGAAACAATGTGCTCGGTGGAGTTACAATTACACCATCTCACATTCTTTTGGCAGAGGAGTTCAGGGTGAAGTTATGGAGAGGAGATAAAGCACATAGAGGGAACAGAACCGCAGGTCACTGCTGCACCTCCTGGAGCTGCACCCCGAGGCCAGCCTGGAATTTCCTGCCTGAACCCACATCCACTGAGTCTCGTGGGATTCCACCAACGACTCAGCAGCAGATCTGCCTATCCATGCAATGTAAGTAATGCTTTTAGGAGCATTATCCATGCATGGTTTTCCCGTACATGGAATTTGGCAGGAAGCCATTCGACTGAATGCTTCACATTGCAAGAAAAATCAGCAGACTTGTTTTCTTTTTTAACTATACTTATTAAAAAAACCAACCCCCCTACTAACAAAGTAGGAAAGTTATTCACCATCACCTCAGGCTCAACCATGTAGAATCAGATCATTAAATATGCAGATTTTTAAGGAAATATCTTCCTTCCCACCCTCTTACCCTGTGCTTTATCATTTAAGCAGTGGCAGCTCCTACAGCAAAAACTGGGTATTTCATATAATGCAACAGTAACACAGAAACAGAGCTCCCAAGTCCAAGTCCCATCTATCATAAGTAACTACAAGATTATCTCTTCCAGACACTGATCAAATCCCAGTTTATGAGCAGTTTGATTTTTACTGCTATTATACAAAATGAAAAGCTCTTCCAGAACCCTGCTGCTCTGACGACGATGAGTCTTCCTCCTCTCCAACCAAAATCTTTTCAGGACCAGTTTATACATGTTTGTTCCTGCACTGAGTGTTGTCCTTTACTTGAATTGTTTTTCCTCTCCCTGGTATTTAGTCCCCTGATATATTTATAGAAAGATCATATCCTCTTTCAAACTTCATTTTGCTTGGAATAGTAATGTTAGAAATAGACTGACGAATTTACTGCAGTGGATAGGGATGGACAGACACACACACACACAGAAGCTAGAGCACTCATTTTAAAAGAAATGCAGAAAATACAGATGAGTCAATCTTTAGTTAACAGTGAATTATTTAAATCATGTCAGCAACACGTGTCAACTACAATAGAAAAGACAGATCGAGTTCAAAACTGATTTTCAGGGGGTTTTAGATCTAATGACTATCCATCTAGAGAAATACCAGAAAGCCTACCTGGAATTCCATAAAACTCTAGCCTAGGGACTGTTCCAAAAGCCCACAATGAATATAATTTCTAAAAAAGAGAGCTGTGAAGACTCAAAAGTACATTTAAACAGCGACTAGTTTGGGTGGTAAATAATACGCAGAAAAAGGAAAAAAATAATCAAGTTGCTATTTTAAAAAAAAACCAAAAAACCTAGAAGGAAAAGAGATTGAACATACTATTGTCTGTTCAGAGAAAATTTCTTTCACAAAAATATTTTCTAGCTTTGCTGCTCTGGTACATCAATCCTGAGCACTCTAACTTTTGACTTATAATGATATTCCTTCAGATACAGCTTCACCGAGGGAGGAATGGGAAGTGCATCGATACCATCGTAAGTTGTACAGTTGCAAATGACCGTTCTACATATATGCTGGAGAGAGAAGGGAAAGGTCCTGTTCAGGGGAGTGGATAAAAGTGGTTCAAAGAACATACAGGAACTCGGATCTTTGTAGTGTTCTAGGAGTCCCGTGATGTCAGGAGAATGGAAGACACAGGGATCATGGGCATCAAAGCTGAAGTTGTGATTCCACTGCTCTATCCGGGCGTGGAGGGAGCGACTGTAGCGCCTGAAGCTCACGGAGAACAAATAGTCCTCCTGGGCAGAGTCTCTCAACAGAAACGTTCCCTCTGGCTTTCCTTCCAGCAGCGCCTCAGCTGCGTATTTATCCATGACTCCCCAGTAGCAGGGATTGTTGTTGATCTGGAGGAGGTCTGGCACTAGGCAGTGGACATAATCGATCTGGGTGTGGTATTTCGGGGGCGTTTCCATCCGTAGCAGCTCGTCATCCGTTTCCCACTTGGGCTTGTTTCGTTTTCGAGAACTTGTGCACAGAGTTACGACTTCATCATCCGAGTCCATGTCGCTCTCATCTCTACTGCTCCTTGCCACCTTACCTGTCACCAGCTCAGGCCTCGGCTCACCCCGAGAGGAACTGCTGTCCGTGAAGTCACAGGACGGGGAGGGAGAGTCCATTCCCCCGTTGGCAACGTCCTCGTCTCGCAGCTGATCCTCCCTTTCCTCGTGCTGGGATAAATCAGCAATTATCCACTCTTCTGCCTTTGGACTTATAGGGGCCGTGTGCCTTTTGATCAAGTGCCAGCGGAAAGCCAGCTCCGAGCGCGGAGGGAAAGGACACTTATCCAGCATCAGCTCGCTGATATGGATTTTCCTTTTGGATGGCAGACCGGAGGCGTGCCGGCTGCTGCAGTTCTTTATGGGAAAACACTGACCCACAGCATCCTGCAGCTTCTGTTTGAGAGACCGGCCCAAAAACCTGTGGCCACAGGACCGGTCTAGATCCAGCTCGATGGATGAGCAGCTGTACTTCCTCTCTTGGCTCCTTAAATTAGTCCCCGACCTTCCTGCAGCACTTGCTGTTTCAGCATCAGGACAGTGCTCACTTTTCTTGGACCAGGAGAGTTTCTTCCCACTCCAGACATACCCATCCTTTCTGTCTGCGCTTCTGCTCCGGCTGCTTTTGGGCCTCACATCCGCGTTTTTCGCACTGCTGTCCTTGTTTTCTGCCATTGTGACAGCTTTGCTTCACAAGTTGCCAGGAAGCTCACACTGTGCTTCTTGTGGGGTTTTTCTACATAAGGAAGCTTCCTTGAGGCACTTTCTGGAAATATCTAAGGAAAAAGAAAACACAGCTCAGTTAACTGCTATGCACACACACAGTGCAGCAGCAGCAGTGCTTGGTGGATACAGGACAACAGGGACAATTAATTACTGACCATGTGAAAATCATGTGATTGAGGTGAATTCAGTAGCACACCCCACAAAAACCAGCCTGATCCCAGAAAAAGCTCTCTTAGCCCTTCCTTGGGAAAAGCATCCTTCAGAAAAAACTATCTGATTTGTTGGGTTTTCATTCTGATTATGCAGCAGAGCAGAACGTTTTAGGTGTTGGCAACCCCATTGTGCCAGGGCCCATTTCAAAAGGAAACCCTTCCTGAGGCAGGTGATACTGCTTTAGCTGTTTATGGAGCAAATTCTGCATCTCTTCCAAATAACCTTTCAAGAAGGAACAAACCAGAACAGAAACAAGTAGGTCAGAGTACAAAGAGCTACTGTACCTAGATGATATGCCTGTTTGCTACTAATCCACAGGGTGGGATGCCAGAGATCTTTTTCTTAACTGACACTTTTGGGTCACTTTCAGGATAAAAAAAAAAAACAAAACCTAAATTTTATCAGTCACAGATTCCGTCAGGTTCTGAAAGCTGTTTTCCTCTGCCTTTTCAAAGGAAGGGAGCTATGAAATAAGTGAGGCCCTAAGGGATTGAAATATCTGGGGCTTTACATACTGAAAAGGATTAAAACAATCCAGCCCCTTACTAAAAGCAATTTTAAAAGGCCGTGAAAGATGGAACTGCTTATTGCTCATTAGAGAAGGAAGTTTACATTATTAAAATCAGTGTTGCTTTGAGACCTACGGTTGCTGATTTCATTTTCTTTTGTTTCCAAAGGTATATTGAATTCTCAAATAGATAAGAGGTTTCCTTTTGACTGCTGCACTTTGAAAAAAAGATGAAAAAAATCCTCTTTTGATTACTCAGTTGAAAGTGGAGCAGGATTTTTTCAAGATACGTAGATAGCAATATGGTATGGATGCTATACCCCCTGAGGCATGGCAGGATGTAGAAATATTTCCCATCACTTATCATAATCAGAATATTCTATGATTCTTGTGATGCTTCTGCACCAAAACCATGCACAGCTCCTCTGTTGCACTGGGGTATTTTTTTGGCTGTGGGTTTTTCTGTCATGTTGTTTTGGGGTTTCGGATTTTTTTACAGCTAATTGACATGGTAAAGACTAAGCAGGAAAAGAAAAGGGCATCCACTTCCTCTCTCCATTCAATCCATTCTCATCATCAGGATTAGCCAGCATGACACAACCTCTCTGCAGTCCCCCGGGGCTGCGCAGGCTGAGTTCGAGCCTCTGCTTTCAGTAAAAGAACAAGACAGCCTTGCCAAAAGGCTCACATGCAATCTGTGGGCCAAATGCATCCCAGATGGAACTTTCACCCAGGAATTTTTCACATGGCATTCCTTATTTAAAACCCACAGACCTGAGAGATGTGGGGGAAAGGAAAAGGCAGGGGAAGGGAGGAGATGCAGAAATGTAGAATGAAAGTAAGATAGGTTCAATGTTGGAAAAATGTTGGGAAGAAAAATGGCATTAGAGCAATGCAGATGAATATCACCTCACTGGTACCAAGAGTAATCACAGGAAAGGGTCCATATTTCAGCCATTACAAATCAAAGATTAAACTAAAGATTTATTTTTCTTCTCTCAGGGTTTTGCAAATTGCTTTCCAGTGAAAGCATGGCAAGACACAATGAAGACAGGAGAAAGAAAACATTTGCATGTGAGACTCAAAAGATCTTTATTTAGACCAGGATTCATTGATTGCTTTTGGAATGTTGATATTTTTCCTCCAGAAATACCTAGAGTGGAGCACTGAATTTTCTCCACAATTCAAAAAAAAGGAGGGAAAAAAGCAATCTCATTTACCCTGGTGATAATCTGAAGTCACTGAAGACAAAAAGTTTTTAGATTCATCCTGTGGTAAAATACATTAATCGTCTATATATGGGATTTTTAATTGGACAGAGAGATATCACTGAGGTTGCAAAGTCAAGTACTTAAAAATTAGGATATGACAGTTTGTAATTGCTTTTGAAACCTTCAATTATCTCATTCTGCTCATTCAACCCATATAAGGAATAAGAACATGCAGAATACAGGCTTTTAATTAAAAACTGCAAAACATACAAAACCCAGAAGTGCCTGTTATCTCCCAGCTTCAGCCTTCCAACTGAAAGAAGCTTGGGTTTTATGGTATTTCTAGGCTGCTGTTGTATTGAGCTGTAACACCACCTTCTCCTTTGTACCTTTCTCCTGTCATGAATCATTAGTGGTACCTGAACCCTGAAAGAGAAGCTGGGGAAGCAGCACGTGATGCTGCAAAGCCACGCACCATTAGCCAGAGCTGCTTCCCTGAGGTTTGAAGGGCTGCTGGAGCCCAGGCGCTGCTTCTGCCACGTCAGAGCAGGAATTGCTAATCAGACAGAACACTAGAGCTGTGAAAAGAGCAGGGAACAAATGAAGGAAAAAAGGGATGTCATCCTACTAAAGCCAGGTTTGAACCTGACCGTGTGTTACAAACGTCTGTGTGCTGCCTCCCAAATCCCACTGCTTGGCATTACAGCGAGGGATCACACCTTCACACCCTTCTGGATCAGTAATTCACAGCCCCACCAATAAAACAGGGACCAAAAATAATTAAAGTGTCAGAAAGAAAAAGGCAGAAAGGGCAGGGAAGGCATTCAGTGCTCTATTACCACTTCGGGCCATCCATCTAAAGCAGCATCCAAGGGAAATGCCACGTACTTCCATTAACGGCTGGAGCGCTGCTGGAAGAGCAGGACAGGAGGGCAAGGATAAAAGAGAGGGAACACAAAGTGTTCTTTTCCCTAGAGGGGAAGGTTAAATGGAGGAGTCCGGTGCTGTGCAGCTCACACGCATCAGGCCTGAGCTCCTTTTGGGAGGAATAATGAGTGTCCTGCCTGAAAAGCCTCGTCCTGCACGGGGACACCTCCGGCACTTCTGATGACGGCAGATTTGACAAAACCCTTATGCTGGAAACCCTTTTGCCTACGGAAACAGCAAAGATAAAGACACATGGGGGGATGAGCAGAGTTCACTTTGGGCCACAGGACCCGGCTGTTAGTCCAAGGTTACCCAACACTGTCACAGCTACAGTCCCTGAGGACAGGCAGAGAGCTGGGTGGCTTTTGCTGTTGGTTTGGTGCTGTGCCCAGCTCCCTCCATCCGAGGTTCCTCTCTCTTGTCTGCAGACAAGGTGCTTTTTCTTTCACAACCTGATGCCTCAAACCTGAGACTTCAAGCCCAGACTCAAAACAATATCCAGCTGCTGTTTGGAGGGATAACAACATTCCCTCCTAGCCAGGGGTAGGCTGCAACCCACAGCTGTGATAAGACAGAGACAGCCTCACCATATGTCTAATCAATAATGCCAATAGGAGAATCAAAATCATAAATGTACTTATTTATTCAATAAGTACTTGAATACTGAACTGCTTTAACCTGATACTTATGTCCTGAGCTGCTGGATCCTTGCCTCTAGCCCAACAGTCCTCTTCAAGCTGCTTCCCTTTCTGTATAAAGAAGGAACAGATGGTGGGGGGTCTCCAGCCCGACCTCCCACTTGGACTGGGATTGCTGCCAGCGTGGGCTCAGGGGAGCCATGGCCATGTCCTGAAAACTCCCAGGATGAAGGTCTCACCACCTCTCTGGTGCTCCCATGCTGCACAACCCTCCTGTGTGCAGGAAGTTTTGGAAGTTTTCTGTCCAAGCACACATCGCTGTATTGTGCCTCTAATTAAACAACAAAAGAAGGCTCTCAAAGAACAATGAATCAATTTTGGAATTGTTATGGAAGTTGATTTTGTAGAGCTGATAAAATCCTGAGAGAAAACAGCAAGCTGCAATAAACTGGAGTACTTTTTCTTTCATAACTTACATAAAAGTTATTTTAAAACAAAATCTCACTGGTCACAAGCTGCTTTCAATAATTTCACCTGATTAGATTTTGGCCACAAGACCACATTTTAAAACCTGACCTTCCCAACCTACTAAGGATAACAATAAATCTCAAGTCCTCTGTCTTAAATTATTTTTCTTCAGTTTTGGCTTTACTTTGATTTATAATACCACCTAAAAATACCTAAGCTTGACTCCAGAGGCCTTAACAGCAAATTAAAGCAATTATTACACATATACACAAAAGAAAAAGACTTTTTAAAGGTACCATTTGCATCCTAAATATTTCTTCCTCGGAAATAGCCTTGCTTTATCCCCAGAACTGTAGGAGGAGGGGGGGCATGCCCAGCTAACCCCAACACAGGGGATATTTTATTCACTCCCAGGAGGTGGAACTGAGCTGGCAGCAGGTGCCAGAGGTGAGGGCTGCTCGTATCTCCTGCCTTAATGAAGCTCTGCTCATGTGTGGCAGGAGAGATGCAGGCAGAGCTTGGCAAACCCCAGCAGCCTCTCCAGCACTAAATCAGTGAAAGCTTCATGGTCCATGACCAACACTCCGTGCTCCACCCAGAAACCGAGCAGGGCAGCGATTCCCGGCTCCCGCCCCGCTCCCAGCCACTCACACCTATTAATCAAGCCAGCAGCAGCCCGAGTTCCCAACCGGATTTAAAGTATAACTTTGCATTTGGTGCCGTGTCACTTGGGATGTGACAAAGCCACAGCGCCTGCAGTCCCTTGGACAAGTGACCAGGGGATCCTGACACCCCCCCTGAAAAACCTCCCCCCAGTTTTCCTCTGCTGTTCAAAGAGTTATCCCAGCAGGCAGCACCTCCAGACAAGGAAATCAGTTGTTACACAGAACCGAATGTAAAATGGCTTTTATATTGCAAAACACTTTAAGTGCAGTTTCTATCAGGTCCTCCGAAAATAAAAGTGATTAAGAAAAATAAACACATTTGACAGGCATTTGTCTCCATCCCAGGCAGAGGCTTGCAGCAGGAATAGCTTGGTCTTCCCACTCATCTGATAAGCAGTTCAGCTCCGAATCATTTCTCTAGAACACATTATCCTCGCCAGAAATCACGATTTACTGAAATATGTAGGATACACCCATGGAAAACATGTCTCTACACAGCTTCCACGAGGTTTAATAATGAAATCTGGCCATATTTCTATATTTTTTTTTAAAGAAGTGTGCCTGCTTTGTAATCCTGTCACTTATTCATTCATGAAACTACCAGCAATGTGAGTGTTAGAGAGAAACACATTTCCAATATAAATAAATCACTCTGCTCACCCCAACCACCAATAACCCCGCTGCAGAGCAAAACTGAAGATAAAAGGGTTTTGCCTGGAAGCAATTTTTTCTTAGAAACAGGAATAAACTGGGCCAGATCATTAAGGCAACATAAAGGGAAAACAGATAACGCCGTTTTCCCTCTTTATTTCAGGTATGTTCAATTCTAGCATTTTTTTTTAATCCTTCAAGAGGTCAGCCAGCATGCTTTCTCCCTATTTTTCAGCCAAAAAGAAAAAAAAAAAGAAAGCAAAAAAAAAAAAAAAAAAAAAAAAAAAAGCTTAATGGTTTTTGCAGTGCAATCGCTACCAGCCTGACTACCACTGCTGTCAACTCCACCTCGCACACGCATCAGGATGGCTGGAATTCCAGAGTAATTCCATAATGACCAGCAGGATCTCCAAAGGGGTTTGATCCTGCGGCTGGGTGAGAGCAGCCCCCGCTGGTATGGGGGTGATGTCCAAGGGGGGTGAAGGACACAGCTCCTCATTTGGGCTTTCCCTGCCGTTCCTGTGCCCCTTGAGGAGCTGCCATTAAATC